GTCTTTAAAGGTTCATCCTTAACTGACCGGTCTTCAAACAGAACAGAATTAAGCAGTTATATTATCAAATTGAACAAATGCGTTAAAGGAATAGTTTACCCAAAATTTTAAATTCTGTTATGATTTTCTCATTTAAAATCCATAAGATTTCATTCATCTTCAAAACAAAAATGGAAGATATTTGTCATGACACCAGGGAGATTTCTGTCCCTCACTGAAAGTCCACTCCACCAAAATTGTAATGCTTCAAAAAGTTCATAAAGTAATCCATATGAATCGAGTAGTTTAATCTAAGTGTTCCGAAGAGAAAGGATCGCTTTATATGATGAACAGATTTAATTTAGGTTTGCTTTCACATATGAAAAAATGGAAAATGGAAGCTCAACTGTACTTGCTTGAATTGTGAGGACAAACCTCAGCAGTTCTTGTTCATCACACGAGCACTTTTAAACTTCCATTTTTGTAGTGCCATAGATTTGGCAGAATGGACTTTCAATTGAAGGACAGAAATCTCTCGGTTTTCATTAAATATATCGTTAACACTTTACTTAAAGCCTTTATGTATAATGCATTATAAAGGGTTATTAAGGGGTATAATGCATTAAAAATATTCATAATGGGCGTTGTAATACATTATATCTTGTCATAAATAATTATAACAGAATATAAAATGCATAGTGTAAGAATGAATTGATAAGTGTTATAATGCATTAACTGTGGTTACAATTATTCATGAGATGTATAATGTACAATGCATTATAAGGTTCATTTCAAGGCATAATTAATGCATTCAAATGTATTTAAATAAGTAAGTAAATAAAAAAATGTAGCTAATTTATTCTATATTTTTGGTTGGGAAAGAGCAAAAACCTTTTATAACATCAGTGGTGGGTCTCTGTGATCAGCTCATAAATATTGACAGCTCTACAAATGCAGACAGAGGCTGAAAATCCTGCAGTTAGAAACTTAAAAGGGAAAAATTAAGAAAATTCTGCAATGATTGTTTTAAATATGTGAATATGACACAGAAAAGGAGATGTCTATCCCTAGCGAGCACATGAAAACTTCAAAATAATCAGATATATGAAGACAAATCACAACAATGTTCAGCATAATCCAGCAGAGTATTTTTCGGGATAAAAAAAAAAACATTTAGAAAAAAAAAATAAGTTAAAACTTTAAAGTGAAAATGCACTGAAATCCTTATATCGATTTGTACTGTGAGTGGTGAAGTGAAGGAATGTGAGAAGCCCCACACGATCACAGAGAAACAGATCTTACAAGCAGCTCTGGAGTGTGAAACCATTAAACAAACTCTCTGTTGGGCAGTACAGTAATGCCGTGAATCCGTGATAGGACAATGGACGTGATACAAAGGATGTAATAGGCCTCCTCCTTGGCTTAGACTCAAATAATGTTATGATACATCTCGCATCTGGTTGGATTGTTGCACTTGGAGCTTGTTCTAGAAAGCTTTCTTATGGGGAAAATGAATATGAATTCCAGATTGGACACTGTTGAGCTCCATTGAAAATTAATAACACTAAGTTTGCATTTATTTCATTAACAACCATCATATAATGCTTTGCTTATAGATCAAAAGTTCATATTAAGCATTCATATTGATTTCATTCAAACCTGTATGAGTTCACATTCATATCAGAGTATGAAAATGTATTAATCATCAAAGCATTTCTAATTATAAATATGCATAAAACGAAAATCTAGCTTTTGGTGGTCCCTGGATTGGTTAAAAGTCTGTGAATCTGTAAAAGTAGGAAATCCTTGAGTTATGAAACAGCCACATTACAGGGGGTTGATCATTTTAAACCTATTGCAAATGCTCCTGGCTGCAATTTCCCAGCATGCACCTTAAATATTTTGTCATCATTCAAACCTGAAGTATGGGGATACATTTCACCTCTCTCCTTATAACCTACACGGATCCACTTGGGCTTGTGAATTCAAAATAGAATAAAGTCAATATATACGATTTCCTGAAGGTATGGAGGCAGTTTCCTCTGTCTCCATTTCCATATGTCCCATGTGGCACAATGATTCACGACGTGTGTGAGAAGCTGAGAATACAGAATATAAAATATGAATCTCTTTATGTCAGACTTTGTTCCATGTTTTGTGTGTTTTGTTCCCCACGTGCTCCATGTCCTGGTTTTCCCCCGTACTTCTATGCCCATATTTGGTCCATCCTGTTCCTGTCCCCATTTAGTTCTATATGTTTCAGCTGTGTCTCATTAATACCCTTGTCTATTCCTTGATTAGTACCATGATTTAAGCCCTGTGTGTTTCCATATCTAGCGTGCTGTCTTAAACGTCGATCCCCGTTCCTACGTGTGTGTCCTGATTGTAAATAAAGACTATTCATGGTGAAATCTCCTTCGCTCCTCGCTCCGACACAGTAGGCAACACCATCAATTCTCTGTTCTAGCTCGGGGCCAACTACCATCGCCCCATAGACCTCACAGACACCAAGGGACTATGCTGGAGGGAAGGGATCTACCGATGGTCTGGGGAGTGTCTGGGCCCGAGCCAGAACCAGCCCGCCGTCAAGCCCGCCGGCCACGGCTCTCTCCAGCCCACCGGCCGTTCCTCAGTCAAGCCCGCCGGCCGCGGCATGCTCAGTCTAGCCCGCCGGCCGCTCCGATGTCAAGTCCGCAGGCCACGGCATTCTCAAGCCCGCCAGTGGTTCCTCAGTCAAGCCTGCCGGACGCGGCTCACTCAAGCCCACCGACCACACCTTTCACCCCGAACCTAAAGAGGAATCAAAGGAGGAGAAGGCGGTGAGCTCCAGCCCCAGAGCTCGCTCCAGTGTCGGCTCCAGCCCAAGAGCTTGCTTCAGTGTCGGCTCCAGCCCCCGAATCCGGCCCAAAGAAGGCTCCTGTTCCCGAGTTTAGCCCATGGAGGGCTCCTGTCCCAGAGTTTAGCCCAGAGAGGGCTCCAGTCTCTGAGTTTAGCCCAGTGAGGGCTCCTGTCCCCGAGTTTAGCCCAGTGACGGCTCCTGTCCCCGAGTTTAGCCCAGTGAGGGCTCCAGTCCCCTAGTTTAGCCCAGTGAGGGCTCCAGTCCCCGAGTTTAGCCCAAAGAAGGCTCCAGTCCCCGAGTTTAGCCCAGAGAGGGCTCCAGTCCCCGAGTTTAGCCCAGAGAAGGTTCCAGTCCCCGTGTCTAGCACAGAAAGGCCTCCAGTCCCCGAGTTTAGCCCAGAGAAGGTTCCAGTCCCCGTGTCTAGCACAGAAAGGCCTCCAGTCCCCGAGTTTAGCCCAGAGAAGGTTCCAGTCCCCGTGTCTAGCACAGAAAGGGCTCCAGTTCCCATGTCCAGCCCAAGGAGGGCTCCATTCCCCAATTCAAGCCCAGAGAAAGACTCTGTTCCCAAGTCAAGCCCGGGGAGGGCTCCTGTTCCCACATCCAGCCCAGAGAGGGCTCCTGTTCCCACGTCCAGCCCAGAGAAAGCCCCTGCTCCCAAGTTAAGCCCAGAGAGGGCTCCTGCTCCCAAGTTAAGCCCAGCGAGGGCTCCTGTTCCAAAGCCAAGTCCATAGTGGCCGGGCCGAGTGGCGAGGCCAAGGCCACGGAGGCCATCTAGCCATGGCCTTCTGAGTTCCCTGCTCCGCCATGGATTCCTAGTCTGCCTGCTCCGCCATGGCTTCCTAGTCTGCCTGATCTGCCATGGCTCTCCAAGCTGTCTGCTCCGCCATGACCTCCTGAACTGCCTGCTCCGCCATGGCCTCCTAGTCTGCCTGCTCCGCCATGGCCTCCTGAACTGTCTACTCCGCCATGGCCTCCTGAACTGTCTGCTCCGCCATGACCTCCTGAACTGTCTGCTCCGCCATGGCCTCCTGAACTGTCTGCTCCGCCATGACCTCCTAGTCTGCCTGCTCCGCCATGGCCTCCTGAACTGTCTGCTCCGCCATGGCCTCCTAGTCT